CTAATATTTTAATTAAAGTTAAACATTTCTGTAGTGATGAAAATCAAAACAATGTATAATAGGGAGAAAAAGACAGAAACATAAAAAATAAAAATCACATTTATTTAAACAAAAATATACACACAGTGTACAATGAATATGGTTTACACAGAACGATAAAACAAAAATGACATGTCTTAAATGCCAATATAAAATGATCAATCTATCTGTGCCTAGAAAAAATTCCTATTTTCTAGGAATACACGTTATTGGTTCATCTAAAATATATATGTAACATAAAAAGAAAACAAATGCCAACCTTTCAGATGAGTACCACAAAAATCTAAAAGTTCAATGTTAGGTTAAATAAAATAATAAAATATTCACATGAGAAGTCTGTGTATACAAAGTATTGTATGTATGCAGTGAAATGAGAGTGCCCATACAGTTATGTGCAGTCAAACTTTTGAAAGTTTCATAGTTTAACATAAAATATTTTTAATGTTGATAGTGACATAAAAACATCACAAGAATTATCTAGATAATATAGCAATCTTGCCAAAATTTGAGTCAATGTTGCCTGTCAGTGCAGTAGGTCATCATTGATCATGTCCTTTCATGACCTGGCAGTAATTTAGATGATTTAAAGAATATTATCAATGTATTTACATTGTGAGTGTGAAAGGGCAACATTTTTTTTTCTTCCTAAAGAACTGTATTTACTAAAAATTACATACTTTTTGGCAAGATGTGATTTATCAGGCAACATCACTTGTATTAGGTCTTCTTTCCCTTGATACTCACTCTCTCTGGGTACCATACTCAATTGTAAATCTTTTAAAAATTTAAAATTCTAAGTATGCATGCAATCTGTAAAAATTCCAACTCAGGGCAGCTAATTTCATTACATTTTTTTTTTCTTATGTTACCTTACTATTTTTCCTATCTCCTTGTTATTAATAGTAAAACATATGTTCCTTTTAGAAATGTTTGACTCTCTTATTTGCTTAGAAATAAAATTCAGTGAGTGATCAATGTGCACCATGATTCAGAAAAACAAATGCAAATTTCCATACATTAACTCTACACCTAATAGTTTGCAATATTTTATCTAAAACATTCATTTTGGTTTCCCATTCTTAAAGATAGTTTTTGCTATAGGTGGCATCTCTGTGAATGCAGAGCTCTAACTTAAAACTGCCAAAGCAACAAAAGATAATATATTGGGACTTTATAAGCTAAGAAACATAAATATGGGGGGAAAAAGCATAGCTTATGTAGATTGCTGCTGGGTTAAATGAATGTGAATTCACACTAAAATTGTCAATCAGCTACACATCTCTCACCAAATCATTCTTTTTAGTCGTGCATAATTTTTAAGGCCTCCAGCTACTATGATGCCTTGTGTTCAATATGTTTCCTTCCCTCTGTAACTGATGATCACAGTTTTTTTAGACAAGTTTCCTAAATCTGTGATAAAAGTTAATTTATTTCCTAAAAGACTACAAATGGTGCCTCGTATATTGAACCAAACAAATGATACACCATCCTGCTTGGAAATTAAACACCTAAAATATCTGTGGTGATTTAGCATAGTGCCAGAGTGTAATTTATTTAATGTAACAGTTTAGGTTTCAATTGAGCTACATTTATTAGAATCTGGGCACAGTAATATGTTACTGTTTTTCCTACTTTCAGCAAATGCCAAAATTATAAACTCCAAAATAGATGGTGAAGTACATTGTTAGTGATATCTGATTGGGCTAACATTTCCCTGAATTTAGCCCTGAGTTATTGCTTAGACTACAGTTGAATTGCTAAGAATTCTCCTGCAAAGCATTACCAAGAGAAAATGTGATTTAATAATTTAATTATGAATATAGTCATCAAATATGACTTTTAACCTAACAGGAGTCTTTAAAGAAGGTAAAAACCAAAACAAAATTATAGCCATCTGAAGATAAGGGATTGCATTTGATACCATTTTAACAATTTTATACTGCCTGTCATAATTTATTTCCTAATGAAAAAAAAAATAGATGAAGGCATTCATTGTGTGCCGGTAAATGCTCAACAACTGCCTTTCCAGGAATTAAAATTGCTAGTTCATAGCATTTGCCAGTTTCTATGGTGTAAATACTCCCACTGTGGATAGTTTCAAGCTACTAACACCATGTTAAGAATCTGCAGTCAGGAAGAGACCCATAGTAGCACAATATTGTATTCTGTTTTCACTGTAAAGATGCAATAGACCTAAACAGACTCAAGAGTCCTGATAAATAGTATAATGTAGTAAAATAATTGGGAAGTGGTATGTTTTGATTATTACCTTTGTTTTCAATGTATTCCATTGTGTTTTATAATTTCACATTTAATAATGGTTACATTTAACAACTAGCTTACAAAATTTTGCATAATTTAATTACCAACTTTTATGCATCAGAACGAGCTAGTTCCAGCCCACCAGTGGTAGTGTGTCTCTTGGTACACTATCAACTTTTACATAGGGAGACGTTTCATTTGCTTGGGAAGAAAGGCATTACTTTATACAAATCAGTTTCTCTTTGCTTTTTTACCTCTTATTTTATGTAAAATGCCATACATAGTTGAAGGATAAAAAGGACGTATCCTCCATCAAATGCTAGCTTTTAAGCCTTCAGAGTTTTTCAGAAGAGGGGTTAGTCTTATAAAATAAGGGCTGGAGGCTGGGTCTGTGGAGCTCTGCCCTGATTGGGCAGTTTGTCATTTAGTACAGTTTATCACCTGGATCAAATGGTTTCTTGACTCATTGAATTATGAGGCTGACCAAACTATGTTCAGGGATTGTTTTGGCAGAGTGTAGACAAACCTCAAGGCAATACTTAAAAGAAAAAAGCAATGACATGAGATGTAAATGAATGGTTTCCTTGTCTTTAAATATGTTTTTCCTAGGGCTCAGTAAATAACTAATCCAGAATTGATATCTGCATTTAATATCAAAGGGGAACATACTATTTTTGAGCAAAAAAGAGTTTGGAAATGTCATTTGCTCAGTTCATTTTTTGGCTCAATATGACCTCCTAAAATAGGTCTGCTGGTGTATCTTTTAAGTGAAAATGTAGATAGAATAGCATGCCTGTGGCTGTGTTCGTTCAAGAGAGATTTAAACGCTTTGTTTGTTTGTTTGTTTGTTTTTAACCTTTGCTCTTTGATTTAGCCTTAATAACTTAAGAAATAGTGAAGTAGTTGTTCGAGAATTTTTGAACTGTGTCTCAGGAAAAAAGCAATATTTTTGTCTCTATGAAACACATTTTCTTGATGAAATCCACTTTTAGTTTATACCAGTATAGGCTTTCTATAAGGAAATGCAGATGACTATGCTAATGAATGAAAATTCATAAAGTATTTGTATTACAGTAAGCACTATAATTTGAGGCTTCTATATTATTTATTTATTTACTTATTTAGAGATGGAGTTTCACTCTTGTCACACAGGCTGGATTGCAATGGTGTGATCTCAGCTCACTGCAACCTCACCTCCTGGGTTCAAACGATTCTCTTGCCTCAGCATCCCGAGTAGCTGGAATTACAGGTGTGTACCACCACAGCCAGCTAATTTTTGTATTTTTAGTAGAAATGGGGTTTCACCGTGTTGGTCAGGCTGATCTCGAATTCCTGACCTCAGGTGATCCATCCATCTTGGCCTCCCAAAGTGCTAGGATTACAGGAAATCCTTGAAATGTCTTTTAAAAATAGAAACCCCTACTGTTGGCTTTCTAGTTAATATTTTTCTATATTTGAGTCAAGTGGTTTCATTTTTTAAAACTACAAATAAAAATTATTGTTTATAAGAGTATTTACAGGTTGATAAATTACTTAAGGTTTCTTGGAACTCAGATTACCATTTGATATGCTGAATGAGGCTTCATAGCTATTGGAGGAGGCCTCTGTCATCCCAGCCTCTCTATCTTAAATCCAGTGGGGCATGAAAATAACCACAAATCCTACCATTTTCAAATGATATTGAATAACTCAAAGGTCGTGTTTAATCACTAAAATAAAGAATGAGTTAAGAGAACATCAAGGTAATTTTGTCTATGAATGGATTCAAAGTACACAGCACATTTTCATTAAAAAGGCTGTAAGTAGTTTCGTAACTGCCTCAAGTATAATGCCTACAGGTAATTAGCTAAAATAAAAAATTGATAATTTTAGTGTAAAAAACTCCAAATGCTTACCTAAAATTTGTAGTAATTTGAAAATCTTAACCTGGGACTAGAAACGTGGTTGGAATCCTTATTTCAACAGGAATATTAGGCAAGGAGCTATCACATTCGGTATGGAAAGCATAATATTATCCATTGATCATAGCTAAGAGAGGGCTTAATGAGCCTCTGTTATTTTCAAGGGAGATTTATGCTTTGGATAGCATGTTCTTCTAATGAGAAAGGAACAAGAATAAATTCGTAAAATTTGTAGAACAAAAGTTTCATTCATTCAGACTTTTGTATTCTTAGTTTCAATTCCAGTGATAAATCCTAATTTCTTTTTAACTAACTAGCATTCTCCCTTAATTTTCATGCATATTTAGCATAGCAATTTGGAGAAGGGACAAGCCACAGACTAGAAAAGTAAGAAGAGGTTGTAATTCTGATTTTGGAACTCTTTTGCTGGGTGATTGGGGGTGATTAACCTTACCCATTTTTGAATACTGGTATTATACAAGATGATTTTTAAGGAAACTTCTACTTTGGGATTTTGGAAAACTTATAAATGTTGTTATTTTACTGAGTAAGGGCAAGTTTGAAATTCAGGGTAACAGAAAATAATTGTTTTACTTTATCATTTGTTGTGGTTGCATACGTTTTAAAGGCTTATTAACATACACAAACCTATGCCATAACTGCATGCTTATACCAAGATGACTGCTAAAAAACATCTCAGAGACACCTCACTGACATTCATGAACTTCACAACATAAAGTTCAGGCTGATGGGGATTTTCATTTTGGGTATCAAAATGTTCATTTTTATTTTCTTTGCAATTTTAGATCATTGCAGTGTTTTGCCTATCACTCTATTAAACGTTCTATATTGCTACAGTCACAGCTAGATCACACAACCCAAGTCAGAGTTCTGAAAAGATGCCATGGTTTTGAAAGGTCTGTTGACTGCTTTACTCACTTCATGCATATGCCTGTTGAAGAGGAAGAGTCACACCTTGACTGGATGATAGAGATCATTGTGGAACATACCTGCAAACTGCCTCAATATTCCAGATCACGAGTTAACTCTACCTAATTGAGTGGCTACACGTTTTCTTTTAATCCCTTATATTGATTCTCAGGTTGACTGTGTTCTCATAGGTTATTAAGTTGTATCACAAAAAAACTCTGCTCCTTTTCCCCCTCTCCTCTCCTCATTTGGATGGACAGTAGTGCTCTCTGAATCACCCCTAGTCCTACTGAAATGATCCATGTTTCCTCAGAAACATTTAAATACTCATGAATGAAATTTATACTTTGTGAACCAATCACAATCAGCTAGGCTCAGCACATAGAAACTTAGAACTAGAAATGACAGTACTGAGTCATGTAAGATTTTTTTAAATGGATTTCTTTCAGAGTAATATGCTGACAATGAATTCAAGTAGTTCCTAGATTTTGGCAAACATCTGTGATCATCTCCCCCACCACAAATTCATGACAATAAAAACAAACAAAAAAGACCAAGGTGAAGATTATCCAACTGAAATGTATTTGTGTTCCTGTTTATTAACATGTTGGTAAACTTAGGTGTCAGCTTTTCCATAAGTCCCCTCTGGAGGTCTGTAGTACTTGGGGAAAGCCATCAGCTGTAGCATGTTGAAAGCATACTTTCTGCATTTGATATTCTTCAGTACATTCTCTATGCGGCATCCTTCTCTGGTGAAAGGGGAAAAAGTACAACTTCATGAAACACAGAATAAATAAATATGCTTTATTTGTTTAATGCAGAGTTGCAGCAACAGTCCAAGTAAAAATAACAAAGATTCAACTCTACATTTTTTTTTTTCCACAAGTGATGATACATCTTACAAAATTAAATCCTAGGCCAGGCCCAATACCATTATTGCCCTCTGAAAGAGATGACTTAAGTCTCTTTACTCTTAACAGACATTTAAAATTTAATAAACTCTTTAAATATAATTTGCTCCACAATACAGCTCCACTTTAGTTTCATAAATATATCTGCCATTTTATAACATTTCCACAAATTAATTTCTCAGTCTCTTTAAAACACATTAAAATCTATATGTAGCCCTAAGGATGCAGGTTCTAGAAATAAGGCATTTAATTTATTAAGTCTGGCCCTATAGATTTTTAAAGAAAAATTTCATCTCTATTTTAATTTTATTATTTTAGCTGTGCAAGGAAGAGAGAAAATGGCTTTCTGAACAGCCTGGGCCAAGTCTCAGCTTTATAAAGGAAGAGTGCTTGTCCACGGACAGTACAAAAGTCACAAGTGCTGGGAATGGTACATCAAGACACAAACAAGACCTGGTTAAAAAGAATAGAAAAGTCCTCTGAAAGCCAAATCAACCCAAACAAGAGATACAAACAGGTAATTTAATTACAAAACATAAATAGCCATTCTCTCCATAAAGTTACTTGACAGAAAAGAGTTAATTGCAGCGAAGAAGTAAAACAGGTTAAAAAAAAATTTCTATCAGCAGATGGCATCTATGATATTAGCACAGTGGAAATAAAGTCTGCAACCTCCCACATCTCTAGAACTTGTCTCAGGGTTTCAGTGTTTGTGCAAATTCAGTCTTAATTTCTTTAATAAATTTAATGGGATGAGGACAGGAGGTTCAGAACTTCAAGCTTTCAGGATTCTGTTCTTTGTCTTATTCCAAAGACAGTAATTTAAAAATTCTTCTTGAGCTAGTTAACAGTGGGAAACACTTTTCCATGAACAAAAGAGAAAAATAATCCACTTAATGCATAGTACTTTCTGTTTTTCAGATTTTAGGAAAAACAAACAAAAACACAAATTAAACATTTTCTTTTAAATTCTGTGAATTTGAAAATGTAAAAATATTACAGCATTGTCCCCATGATTTAAAGTTCATTGTCATTTGTAGAAAAGAAAAAGGAATACAACATAAAACTTATTGGTATTTGGCTAAGAGCAATGCCAGACTTAAAATAAGCCACACAACTAGCAGGTGTGAGCTGACAAGCAGCAAGGCGACAGGATAGAAGTGTCGAGAAGTTGGCTTGTTATCAGTTAGACAGCCTGTTTCAGGATCATCGGATTCATTCAGTGCTCCCTGGGTTTGTCTGCTGTTAAATGAGGGGAAGTTAGGGGAGAAAAGAAAATAGTATAGAGTTCACACAGTAAAAAAAAAATTCAACCTTAAATATTCTGAAATACAATGCACTATCTTACATAACACAACTGTTTCAGATGAAATCTTATGGTAAATTTCCCCAAATGCACCTTGTGTATTGTTTTCTCATTGTACTACATGGGCGAAGGAATTAAAACAGGAGATTCCTTTAGCTCTTTGTGCAAGAAGGAAGGGAGAAACACTGTAATGATGTTCACGTGAGTTGACTATGTATGCACGAGGAAGAATCAAAATAAGCATAACAGCACCAAATCAAGACTATGAAATAAGTAAACTATGGATTAGCTCATGAAAATAATCTGATAACTACATCTCTAGAAAATGAAATGAGCAACACAGGATGTAGGGAAGCAAACCAATGTGTCTGGCATATGTAAACATACCCTCTACTGGCATTGCACCTATATAATGTATTTAAAATTATAAAAATGATTTATTGAAATGGCACGATCTTTAAAATGAACAGGACATCTGACATGCCATCCTTGCCAGCCATAATATTAGTTTAATAAAATCCAACTCAGCACCCTTCTGTTAGTTCAGCTCATAAATTACATCGCCTCCTGCTCATCTTCCTTAGATAGGGACAAATCTATCTCCTACGAACACTTCATCTGAAAAGAGATCCATATTTACAGGGTGATACCTCAGAAAATAAAATACTTCATTTTTAGATTGTTTACTTTCCGTGTAAGTAAATAAAATTAGGGGGTTGGTTTATAATTCTGCTTAAAAGCAGCTCCAATTATGGCCAGTCTGAAATATACCATATTGATATAAACTGACAATAAAATAATGTTCTATGCTCTAGTTCATCAGTATTCAGAGTATTAAGAATCTCAGTCACATTCAGTGGTTAAGGGTGGTATATTCTCTATTAGCTCTCCTACATTTTCAGGCAAAAAAACTGACTGTGGCTCAGTCTTATGAAATAAGTGTGGAACTTTTCAAAGGAAACTTCTAATGAAGATCCTTAGTTATGGCCAATTTCTAGCCCTTTGCAATCCCCAAACAAGTCCTATATAGAAATTTTTGACCAGGCATTGACCATGCCAGTGTCAGCATTTACACAAATATCAGTCATAATTATTTCAAACAACATGAATTAGTTTAAAACACCAAATCAACAAATCAACCATATTGTGCTGTGCTCTGTTATAGCCTCATGGTTTGGTAGGACCTAAGAACTATGTAATCAGTGACAAAGTAAAAGATTGTTTGGAAAACAAATGGTTTATTGAGCAAAAGGGGGTTTACTTTGGATTTACATTTATTCCTATTGTCAGTTGTATGAGTAACCTGGTTACTATTCATCTTTTTCCAGCACACCAGGTAGAAAATGTACAGTATTTTAGGCATTGATATTTTTGAATGTGATTAAGAAAAGCTCCCCTGTTTTATATTATTTCTCTTATTGGCTTCAAATCCCTAATCGTTAATCCCAGAGAAACAGTTTATTCATTTGTTCAACCCAAAGCTTTTAGTGTCTACTATGAACTAATTGTACTGTGTAGGCACTGGGCATACAAGGTTGGATACATCAGATAGAGATTTCTGCATTCATAATGTTTATTTTTGAGTTGGAGGAGGGGGAATAGAAAAATAAGAATAACATCTGATAAAAGCACCGTGAAGAAAAGTAAAGCAGAAGGGAGTTTCGTGCGTGTGTGTGAGAGACAGAGGGAGAATTTTAAATAGGAAAGTTAGAGAAGTTCTCACAAGAAGGTAACATGTGATCACTGATTGAAGATAGAAAGGGGAAGAGTGATGTGGATGTTCAAATTAATTTTTCCGTTGAGCGAGTAGTGCATTACCTAGTAACTTCCTGATATAATGGCACTGGAAACTTTAGGCTGGAGGACAAAGGGGCATGAAGGAATACGGGGAAGGTGTTTTCTGCCTGGCTGGGTCTCAGGGGGAAAGCCCAGGCTCCCAGGGGCAGCAGAGAGGTGGGGAGGGAAGTGACCTGAACTGGTGGATGGCAGACCAAACTGGAGGACAGACTCTACAGTTATAGACCTCACTTCCATTATAGAATCCAAATAGAGACAAGGACACTAAGACCCCTGAGGGTAGCAGTTTGAATTTCCCCTATAAGAATCCCCCAAGATGATCTTGGAAGGAGGGCACATAGATCTCAGAGGTGGTTCTAGATGGCTCACTGGAGCAGAGGACAAAAGTATGAGAACTTCAATATTGCCAATAGGTATCTCATTCTATTAAAATTACTCTTTTTCATGTATTTCAAACAGTATATATTAGGAGAATAGCACACATAGAAACCGCTGTGATATAGTAGATCAGAGCACAGACTCTGGAGTCAGATCAGCTGTTTCAAGCTTGGTTCTATCACTTGCTAGTTGAGTGGCATTGAGCATGTCATTCTGTATGTCATGTCTCTATTTCCTTATCTGTAAAGTGGTGATAATAACAATACTACAACATAGAACTGCTATGAAGTAACTTACGTAAGTCGATTCTTACAAAGTTCTTAGAACAGAGAAGGCCTACAGCAAGCATTCAATAACTTATGTCATTTGTATGTCAATAAATAGGTACATCCTGGTAGTGTACCTAGAAACATTTTAACTAGTATGTTCCCTCCTGCCTTTTTTCCCCCACAAAGACTCCAGATTCTGTTTAATGCATGGTAAAGAAAAATATCACCAGGCCCTTGGGGGTAGCAAGAAAAAAACCCTAAAACATGTGCTTTGCAGAGAGGAACTCTTATTCCCATGGAAAAGAAAAAGAA